TGTTTTTCCCGGAGGTCCATGACGAGCTCACCAGATCGTGGCGCGCTCCCTACTCTGCCCACCTCCGTACTGCTTCTGTACTTGCTCTCGCTGGATGCGCCTACACTTCAGCTGGACAGGCGGCTTCGGCGCTTCATTCAATGGTGGTCCTCCAGGTCTTCCAGGCCAAGATCCTCGCATCCTCCGATGAGTCTGGCCTGGACCCCGCGACCCACAGGGATCTGAGGAGCGCCACCAAGATCACCACCCAGGCCACAAAATGGCTGGCGCCTTGTGGTGCTAGAGCGCCATTTGTGGCTGACGCTGACAGAGATCAAGGACGCGGATAAGATCTTCTTCCTCGATGCTCCAGTCTCTCCCAAAGGGCTTTTCGGTCCGGCGGTCGAAGGATTCGCTGAGCGCTTCACGGAGGCACAGAAATCGTCCCAGGCTATGTGACATTTCCTGCCTAAGCGCTTCAGCTCCGCTGCTGCCTCTGCTCGCCCCAAGTCTGCGCCGACTCAGCAGCCCGCAAAACCAGCACCTGCTGCCCCTGCCGTTCAGCCCGCTAAAGCGCAGCAGATGCGGGGACGCTCTCGCTCGGCCAAACACTACCCTCTTCCCAAAATTTTCCCAAAGTCATCTTGAATGTTGAATTTTCAATACAACTGAAATATTTGAGAGAACATCACATAAGCTAACTTCATAAATTGATGCTGATTTTTCTAAAATGTGTGTTATTTTTTAACTCACCATTATAGTGATTAGCGTTCCCTTTGGTTGGGCACTTGGAACTTCGTTTATGTTACTATAATTTTCTTCCTGTTAATGCAGCAATGCATCATGAAGTCAAGAGTTATTTGATTTCAAGGGAAGAAAAGTAATAAATAGGTTGCTTTTAGAAGGTGACCTATCTTTTAATTAAAGCATTAGTGTATTTTTTTGTGTTTAATAATGAACTTTTTCAAATTTCATTTTACATAAATACCTTGAGATGCTTTTAATTGGGTTTATATAATCCTTAAATAGTGTGTGGTCATATGCTAAAGTCACACACAGACTTAAACATTCAGCACGTGAATCACAACAATGGTAACAATTAAATTTCATTTATTTTCATTAATTGAAACTAACCATTTTATTTGCTCTTTTTGTTGTGCTACTACTGACACAAGACAGCAAATAAAATTGGCAAATAAAATCAACAACTGTAAAACAAAGCAACTGCATAATTTATTCTGCTGCAATGCACTCTGGGAGCCAGTGAGTAGCTATACAAAGTCATGAGTAAACCTGAATGAAAGGATCAAGTACCCCCTACAGTTCTTTTTTAGTTACTAGAACTCACGTGTAAGTAAACTATACTAACTAAGCAGCATTTGTCACTACAACATACTATTCCTATTTCACTTTACTTAGTTTTTTCAAGGCAATCGGTTTGCATGCTTTTTTTAAGTAAGCCCAACTAATTAGATTTTACAGTGTACATACATTCTGTATAGAAAGCAGCAGCCAAATGACAGGATGAACTTGAAGAACTTTCCAGTACCTGTTGGTGACATGTTTGGTGAAGAGCATGACAGGTTTTAATGAAGGACATAGATAGAGGTCGACCGATATGGGTTTTTCTCTGGCCTATGCCAATGCCGATATTTAGAAATCAGGGCAGTCGATGGCCGATATATGATGCCGATTTTTGGCCGATATGTTTGGCTGATTTTCTTATTCTTTTTTCCCCTTCATCAGGGTACAAGACAGTAATAGTAGTAGTAGTAGTAGTAGTTAGAGATGCACCGAAATGAAAATTCTTGGCCGAGGCCGAAGCCAAACAAAATGAAACACTGGGCCGAAGGCCGAATACCAAACACAGTTTTTTGCATTTTTTCCCCCATGTAGGCCTATTTTGCCATTTTTTTTCACCATTGCATAAATTAAATAGCCAAAATGTGCTTTTTACTGTTTTGTCCTGCTTTTCAAATAAAAAATCAATTACAAAACAACTATTTAAAAATATTTACTTAACACTGAACATTTTTTTAACATTCTAGCAGACATTATACCAACAAAGCACAATTTAACTTTAAAACTTTAACTTATTAATAAAATTAATAAGTTAGTAAAATAATATTTTTTGGGCCATTTTTGAGACTTGAATCAGGCATGTATTTTTT